AGACAAAATAGCTGCCAAGAACTCCTTGGAGTCCTACGCTTTCAGCATGAAGAGCAGCGTGGAGGACGAGAGCTTGAAGGGCAAAATCAGCGAGGAGGACAAGAAGAAGGTGATAGACAAGTGTAAAGAGACCATCAGCTGGCTGGAGAACAACCAGCTGGCCGACAAAGACGAGTACCAACACCAGCAGAGAGAGCTGGAGAAGGTCTGCAACCCCATCATCAGCAAGCTGTATCAGGGAGGGATGCCCACTGGTACCTGTAGACAGGAGGCAGGAGCCCACAACCAGGGGCCCACTATTGAAGAGGTGGACTGAAGGGGCCCTTCATGTGGATTTATCTCCTGGACTGTTTACAGGTTCTATTCAGAATAAACACTTGGTTGTTTCCATGTCCCCCTTGTAAATATCTCAGCTCTGTTTAAGGTTGCCTACCTACATTTTTTTTTTTTACAACTAATACCACTCATGGAAATAATGGTGCAACCTTTTTATCGTTGAAGTATTTTGATGTTTCTAAATATTTGACATCTGAATGTTTTCATCTGTAAAATGCTGGACATTAATAAAGATGAAAAAAGAAAATATGAGACTCTGGTCTGTTTATTGCTGTAAAACCTTTTGTAATACCGCCAAATGTAAATGTAGGCATCACCTAAAAAAATGAATGATTTTTGAGGGTTGAAGTAAAAGTTTTTCCAGAGAAATCATCTTGATTTGAAACATGTTAGTGTGAAAGCAAAATCTTCTTTGGCCGCTAGGGGGCAGTGAACAACCTCTCGTTGAAACCAGAGGGGATTCAAGAACCAAAAATTGGACTCAACTAAAAGTAGTCCTCCTTATACATGAAATTACTTAACAGTGAAAAATTATTGATCTATGAAAAACTTGAAAGTAAATATGTAATTGCCAAAATGCTCTTTAAGTTGAGATTAGATGTATTTAATATTTAGTAAAGATGCTGTCAGATTTTATTTGGAAGTTCTGGTATTTTAAACAGTGAAAATACATTAACAAAATACCAATAAATGGCATGTTTTCAGAATAAAACAGAAGAATTTATATTTTCAGCATGCAACTTAAGATATCGATCCTCAGAGTGAGAATTACATATATGTTAGGACAGGGAAGAAAACTTCCACTGACAAGATCTACTGTTTATTGTGTTTTTAATTTATCTTTGAATACTTCAGTTAGAGACAGTGGACAGAGTAGGCAGACATTTGACTCAAGTAGGAGCAGAAAAAATGTAGAAGAATATTTCTTAAATAAAAGGAAGAAATGTGGTGCAGTGAAACCTCTACTTTAATATTTTTCAAAATCCTACTGGAAAAAATATAACTGACTTAAAGTAGGCTTAATTACTGTAGTTACTAAACTGTGTGAATCTGCTTAACAAGAAAAAACAAGCCTTCAGGAAGGGAGAGAGAAAATGATTAATGAGTATACAGAAGTAACTTAAAGTCAAGAAAAGAGAAAGCAACAAGGCATACAGGAAAAAGTTGTAACGAAAGCCCCAGCAGAACAATATCAATGATCTGTGTTCAGGGATAAAGAAAATCACAGGCTGTAAACAGAAGGATGATCAGAAAACGGAAGTTTGGGTAAAGTAAAAGAACTGAACACATTCCTCAACATGTTAAGTTCAGAAATAAGCTCAGCATCCTTCTCTCCTTTCCACAGTTACAGTCCTGCTCACCATTATTGGCACCCCTGAATTTTAAGTACATATGATGGAATATTTCCTAAAGAAAAGACATTGAAAGGAACGATTGGTCTTCGCAAATGAGAACCTGGACAAACCTCAAGCCTTCTGGGACAACATTTTATTGACAGATGAAACAAAAGTGGAGCTTTTTGGTAATTCACACCAACAGTATGTTTACAGATGGCGCAATGAAGCCTTTAAAGAAAAGAACGCCATACCAACATTTAAGCATGGGGGAGGATGCATAATGCTGTGGGGCTGCTTTGCGGCATCTGGTACTGGAGGCCTTGACCGTATCACAGGCATCATGAAATCAGAAGATTATCAAGAAAAAATGTCTTGCCCAGTGTAAGAAATCTTGGTTTGAGGCAAAGATCCTGGGTCTTCCAGCAAGATAATGACCCAAAGCACCCCTCCAAAAGCATGCAGGCATGGTTGAAAGGGGAAAAAATGACTGTTTTAAAATGGCCAGCAATGAGTCCTGATCTCAATCTCATTGAAAATTTTTAGGTAGAGCTGAAATCTGCCATCGGAGAAAGGAACCCTGCAAATGTACAAGTGCTTGAGCAAATTGCAGAAGAAGAGTGGGAGAAAATGCCACTTGAGAAGAGCAAGAAGCTTATGGATGAATATAAGAAATGTTTGGAGGCTGTCATTGCTGCCAACCAAATATTGCAACCAAATATTAGGGAGGGGTGTCAATATTAGTGCACATGTTTGTCTTTTGGAATTAAAATATTTGTGTTGAAATGGTAACTGTCTTTCTTAAATTATTTTGGACCTTAAATTGAAAGATCTTGCTGATATAATTTTGAACATTTCCATTTATTTCTGAAGATATTCACTCAGCTATGCAAAACATGAAGGGGTGCCAATAATGGTGAGCAGGATTGTACATGAACATCCTGCCCTGCTTTCACCCAAAGCTTCTCTTACACCAAGAGGTCTAAATGTATTGACCCTTTTTCAACTCAAGTAGAAGAATAAATTCTACAGTTTGAAACACTTTTTTTTAGAAGTTAGTCTCGATTTAAGCTTTTTACTCAAGTAAAAGTATACAAATACCATTTTTAAAACTACTTATAGAGTATAAAAGTAAAAGTAATGAAGGAAAAAATGTTAAGGACAGAAACTTTACTACATATCTTATTAATGGAACATTGTTCTATAATTTTGGATGAGAACTTTCTTATACATAATTTTCTAATGCCAACTTTGCTTCATCTTGAAAAACGGTTATTTTGGTATGTGGTGAAGAACCACAAAGAAATTAAATGTCTGGATAAAACATATACTTTGATGGATTTTATATTCTTATACCAACAGGCCATAATATAAATGAGCTTCAATTAAACAAAACTAACATGTGTATTTTTAAAATACCGGTATATGGAGGAGAAAGTAGAGATAATTGCACAAATATTTAAGGAGCAGATGTAAAAAAAAAAATGGTCTGAAAAATAATTACTCCAGTAAAGTATAGCTAGCCAAGATTTCTACTTAAGTAAGGTAACGAAGTATTTGTACTTTGTTAATTGACACCTCTGGTTACACTTCAAATTTTTAATCTTCCACCTCTGCCATGGAGGATCCTACTTCTATGAGTTTGTTCTCAGCCAAATCAGAAGATGATTCTCTCCCTCCACCTTCCACCTGTTTCTTTCTAAAAGCCAAGTGACGATACAACTGGACAGACTGAATCGTGAGTCACCAGGTCCTGATGGTGTCAGACCAGTCCAGAGCAGCTCAGTGGGATATTTCAGCACCTCTTCAACCATAAGGGCAAGTTATACTCCTGCAGCAGTGTGTCGCAGGGAGCTTGTTGCAGATATGATGCAGATATTTTTCATTTATGCCCAATTTTGAAGCGTGGTCTGCTCTATGTTACTCCATGCCACAACACAAGAGGAAGTGGAAAAACACAAAGGGCAAATTTATGCGACAGCGAAGGGACATGAGGGTGAAAAAGAGCAGGAATCCAGGTGGAAAAAGGGTCCCATCGTTCTCGCGCACCTCGCTCTTCGTCCATCTTCACGCGTCCTTTTCCAGAATGGCTGTCATCCTAACAAAAAAAGCCAGTAAGGTACCAAACAGGAAATATGCGTACTGTAGAGCTGATGTAGATGTGACCAATCAGAGGCCTCCTGTCTGCGGACCACCTGCCTTGTTCCAGTACCAAAGAAAACTCAGCCAACAGTCCTCAGTGACTATAGACCTGTTGCCCCACATCATAAAGGTCCTAGAGAGACTTCTGTTGGTTCACCTCAACAAACAAACAAGCAGCTATCAGGACCCGCTACAGTTTGTTTATCAAACGGAGTCGGAATTGATGGTACCAAATATTATAGTATATCATAAACTTTCTACAAAAGACTCCATGCCATTTAGACAAGACTGACAGCACTGTGAGGATTATGTCCTTCTGCCCAGAAGACTCAGGTGGCGGTATCAACAATAGCCTGCAACAGTATAACTAGCTCAGGATAACCTGAACAAGAATCAGAAACAAATCAAGTTAATTGCCAAGTAGGTTTGCACTTACACAGAAGATGACTTGGTGTTGATGGTGCAGACAGCCTGAGCCATGAAGCTGAGTACATGCAGCTGGTGAACCACTTTGTTGCATGGCAAGAAAACCATCATCTGATTCTAAATGTGAACAAAACAAAGGGAGTGATACCCTGTAAACATCATGGGAGAAGAAGTGGAGGTGGTGGATGAGTATAAATACCTTGCTGTTCACCTGAAATAAAAAGGTATGTAGGCTATACGCAAACGAGAAGCCATCTACAAGAAGGGACAGAGCAGACTGGACTTCCTAAGGGAGATTAGGTCATTTTGTGTTTGCAGCAAAGGCTACATATCTACTGTCTACTGTGGAGAGTGTGATCTTTTCTGCCATCATATGCTGGATTAACAGCATCAGAAAAAAAAAAAAGATTTAAAGAAGCTCAACAAGCTGATAAAGAGGGCTGGCTCTGTTCTAGAACCTCTGGAGAGGATTTTGCAACGAATAATTCTTTATTAAAAGAAGAACATTGTGAAAAACAGTGACTTTGCTTTTCATCCGATTGTTAAACACCAACAGGGGAGTGAGTGGTGGCCTAGTGGTTAGGGCTTGGAAACCTGAGGTTGTGAGTTCGAAACCCACTCTGCCGCTCTGGGTCTCTCAGCAAGACCCTTAACCCCCGGGCGCTGCACAATGGCAGCCCTCTGCTCCCCAAAGGCGATGGGTTAGATGCAGCGAATTGATAAAAGTTTAATTCAGTTCAGAGTAACTCCAGACGTAGTGTAAGACAGTGGTACGGAAGATCACTGAAGATAAATGCAGAATCCCACAGAGCTGCTCTGCAATGGGCTTCAAGATCAGAGATACTTATTAATGCTGGTTTTTTCCCAAACATTGTGGTCTTGCCATATAAAAGAAAGCTCAGAACATAAACTTACTGAGTTTCATTAAAAACATCTACAGAATATAATCAAAAGTGAGTGAAATTTGATTCCATTACATCACATTTTTCATGCAATCAGGCCAGCTCTGCGTATGATAGAAACTAGGATCCTAACCAAATGGTTATATTTAGAAATGAAGTTTAAACTCTTCAAAGCTGACCTTAAAGCAGGGACAGAGGCCTGGCTATTACTCCCTGAGCTTCTTTTAGCCAACTAGCAAATTATCTGTGTGTGTTTCTACTGTAGGTTTGAGGCCAACTTTGTAATTAAGATGTCTGTCCAGCCTAAAAATCCTCCACAGATTTGAA